TTGATGATACATATTTCTTTTGCAATGGTATTAAGAATAATACATGATGAATAAATAATACATGTAGTAAAAATTGCTCAATTTTAATACCCTCGTTGTACTAGACTAAAACAAAAAATGAATTTCAAATATTTTACTAAATAGTCAATTCTAATAACTTTTTTGTTTAAATCATTTGACAAATACATGTATGTGAAAGAGTAAACAATATTTATTTATGTTCAATACAATGAGTATTTAGCTATTCAGGTAGGGCATCAAACCCTCTCGTATTTCAGTGCCCTCCTCCTCTGCACCTTGTGCCACTGCTACCCCAGGCTCTGCTGCTGCTGGTGCATCCCACCCATCATCATAGGCCTTTCCATGACTCTCGCAGAGGTTATGCAGAGCACAGCATGTCAGCACCATAGATTTGACATGTTTCACATCAGAGTCATTTCTTTTCATGAGGCAACGCCACCTTCCCTTCAGTCTACCAAAAGCGTTTTCGACCACTACCCGTGCTCTGCAAATTCTCTTGTTGTATAGCACATGTTCTGCTGTCAGCCGTCCAGTGTCAGGGAACGGTTTTAAGAGCCAGTTTTGCAAGGGATAGGCAGAGTCTCCCAGGATGTAATAGCCAGCATTCACCCCACCAATGTTCCTGGTGCAAGGTGGAAAGTAGTTGCCACGACTGGCCAACTCCCACAATGTGGACAGTCTCAAAACCCGAGCGTCATGCAAGCTCCCAGGCATTCCTGCAAACACATTCCAGAAATGTCCCTTTCCATCTACAACTCCTTGAAGGATGATGGAGTGCCAGCCTTTACGGTTGAAATAGTCGCAGTGTATTCCTGTGGTGCCAAGATGGGTATGTGTGATCCAATAAATAGCACCTACACACTTTGGGAGCCCCCACCTGTTCTCAGTGTAGTCAGCCATTTCTGCAAACTTCTCCCGATCTGGTGAACGAATTAGTTCCAGTACTAACAACGTATCTGCAGCATCACAGAAGTCTTGCACACACCGGCACACAGTTGTTATGCTCACTCCGAAAAGATGTCCAATGCTTCTGTACTCTGAGCCGGTCTCAAGCTTCCACAGTGCGATGGCCACCCTTTTCTTTAGAGGTATACACACGCGGAATGTTGTCCTGTCTCTCCATCGCTGGCCGCAGTTTGTTGCACAGGTAGATGTAGGTTTCCTCAGACATCCTGAAGTTCTGCACCCACTGAGTGTGTGTGTGAAAGATGGAACAATCACACCCCACCACTCGGTAGCTCGGCCGAGCGTCCAAACACATGGTCTGCAAATAGTATAACTTCTGAAATACACAAACATTTATTTTTCTCATGTCCCTTTAGGGGCTCTGTAGATTTTTTTAGAGTTGGATGATCTCCTTTTTGATTATTAAATTATCTTATCTGTGAGAGAATGCGAGATACTACCTTGGCATTCTCACATTCTTTGTCGAAGCAGAATTTTTAAATGACTGGAAACGTTTTCCCCCCTCTTTTTTCACTTAAACTGTATCTTTCTTTTAACAGTATGATTAAGACCTTAGAAAGTCTTGCTTATTTTGTTCACATTTGTTACGTTCAAACACCTGGGACTGTATATGAATGTATTGCTTGAATGATTTATAACAGAACTGAATGCAGAAAATAAATCCTCGCAAATCACTGGTTGACAATGCATCGTACTACTTCTCTGTTTAGCTGACGGTTTTATGCAAAGTGACTCTTCAATACCATGACAATTTGACCTTTGAATTAGAAGGTGCCTTGAATTAGAAGGTGCCTGCGACATAAAGTTGTATGCCAGTCATGTAGATAAATGAATTGCTGTCTTTAAATGATCATGAAACGTTTTATAGTCACATTGTTTGTCTCAATATAAATTGTGTGAATAGATAAATGATCCTTGTGTGAATGTGAAATCTGTAAATGTATATAACTTCCCACTAATGCAAAACAAATAATTGTACACATTAAAATATTTTTGCAAATACGCAAACAAATTTCACATTTAAAAAGAAAATCTGTGAATATGTCCATCCTCCACATCTGGCAGTGTGAATTTTAAATCTAATTCAAAATTAGATGTACTCCACCCCTGTTGTATTCTTTAGTTTACTGGAGTAAGATACTTAAATGCATATACATGCAGTCAAGAAAGTTTGTTGGCCTCTTACGAAAGCGAAGCCTCCAATTTGGTTCTTTGTGGCAGTTAAACGAACCACATTTATTTCATCTGCAGAGAGACACCGACCATTTCCTCTACATCTTGGAGCTCTACGAGAGCCTGCTGATCCTGCAGGGAATCAAGGACCAGGAGTTGAACTACGTGCCACCACAAGACTACAATCTCCTTAGATGGGTCAACCTCCACCATAAAAACATCAGCCCCATCTTACTGCTTACCAAAAAGAAGCCCCACCCATTGGGTCTGCCAAAGCATCACAACATGAGCAGCTGTTGCCACTGAGCACTGTGAGAGCAGCCATACAGGTAGGTATAAGAGGGAGAAGTCTTCGGTATGGGAAATTAAGTTGGTTAAGGGAATATAGGGAGAAGTAAAGAGGGGAGTTTGAAGTAGGTAAAAGGGAGTGTAAGAGGGGGAGATTGTCAAGAGAACAGAGAAGCTTAAAGGACATTACATGTTTGAAAATGTGTGCAAAGGAATGCTCAACCAAAGAATAACTAACATTCTGGTTAGTTTAGCGGTCTGTGTGCACTCATCATTACAATTTCAGGTCAATACTAGTCGGAAACAATAGTGTACACACAATATCATATGCCGTACCTGATGAAAACAAGTCATTTACAGCATGTCATGTCAAAAAATACAACCCAGGACATTTTATAATTTAATGAATTATACATTGAAGGTAACATATGAATCGTTTGACCTCATATATATATATATATAGAGATATATATATATAGATATATATATATATATATATAGATATATATATATATATAGTCAACGATTAACGACACACTATATAATAATAATAATAAATTCTATTTCTATAGCGCTTTTCTAAGACCCAAAGACGCTTTACATTTGGGGAAGGGTAGACAGACAAGGACAGGCAACAAGACAACAACAAAACAAAAACAAAACAGAAAAACAAAACAGAAAGCAGTCGGGAGGAAGTGGGGGGTGGGGGGGGGGGGCTTATGGGTATACAGATTTGAAGAGATGGGTTTTGAGGCGGGACTGGAACAGGGTGAGGGACTCGGACTCACGGAGGTCTTGCAGAAAAGAAGACTGCAAGCTAATTAACAGGGATATAAACAATGCAGAATTTAAAATATTATATATATATATATATATATATATATAACACATATATATATATATATATATAACACAAGAACATATATATATATATATTATATATATATATATATATATATATCTCTATCTCTCTCTCTCTCTCTCTCTCGCTCTCTCTCTCTCTCTTCTCTCTCTCTTCTCTCTCTCTCTCTCTCTCTCTCTCTCTCTCTCTCTCTCTCTCTCTCTCTCTCTCTACTCTCTCTCTATATCTATATATCTCTATCTCTATATATGGGCCAATAAAGGCAGAGAAGAAGACTGCAAGCTAATTAACATGGATATAAACAATGCAGAATTAAAATATTGAAAAGGAGCAAGCTTTGCAGATGTTTGATTTTGAAGGTACTCTTTTACACTTTTGGTAGGCCCAAATACTGAGGATTATAAGCAAACATTGTTTATATTCAACAAAACTCTAACAGATTCTATTAATAATCAAGACTTTTCGAAGTGTCTGATTTATGCTCTGCTATAATTGGTTGGTGGTCATTCTAATGTATAGCATGTAGGAGTGCACATGTGTTCTTGTGTTCTTTTTCTGTGACACCAATGACTAAGTTATGCTTATATTCCGTTGGTGTAAAATAAAAATGACATCATCTTAACACCATACTATTTAATTATTTCATTGCCTATTCTGAATGACAGAGGTCCATATCAGAAATATTTGTATTCACATGAATGCGCTAAGCAAGCAGTCTATTATTTTGTGCCGTTAGTTTATCAGTGTATTCCCTGTTAACAAGTACTTATGCCTACAGTATGACCTCTGTGAAATACAGCGTGTAAATAGGTCAGCTTTGGAGTATTTGTGCCAAGATATTCTAGACATGTCAGTCCCAAAACTGTTTCTGTTTGTTTCAATCTTTTTGTGTGACGCAACATACAAGTTTATCGCCCCAGAATATAATACTGCACCAAAAACATTCTGGATTTACCGAGTACATTAAACAGAGGAATTTACTTCACATAATAAAAAGCAAACACATTGCAATGACAATTCAGTGAGTCACTGCTTTCCTCATAACGGCATCATCTGTCATGCCATTTGTTCCTTTCTCAGCTCTATTTAATATCTGTTGTGTTTGTTGTTTGTTTCTTTCTTTTTTGCTCTATCCACCTTTTGTCCTGTTGCTGGCTGTGAAGAGGGCAAGTCAGAGAGAAGATGTTGGCATGCACTGCAGGATATGGCTGTTGAAGTATGTGGGAGGGAGTATGCATCTATGATCTATAGGGCTGGGTAGTGGAACAAAATCATCATGGCTACAGCCTATTATTTTCACAAAAATGATAGGCTACTATCTACATTAAACTAACAAGAACGGAATCAAAGATACTTTATTGATGGGTTGTAAAGGGCTACAATACAAACTGTCAATGTGCCTTAGTGAGCAGGCCTGAGAACAGGCAAGCATCAAGGACATTTTGTCCAAACACCCTTTCATCACACATGCTGATGACCTTCTGTGACAGTCCATTTAAACATTTGCCACTCATTCAGTCTGCATAAAAAGAACTCTGCACATTTTCCCTACATTGCTGCCCATTTTCAGACTCATCATTCTTCAGACACCCTTTATCTCCTAGCTTCTTCCTCTATTAACCGTTAAGGATGACAGTTAACAGTTTCTTTGATATGTTTGGATGTTCAATACATGATATTTGTATAAAGCTCTATGATCTCTGAAATCTGTCATGCTTGCGCAGATTTGTTTTTGAGCTTTACATGAGCAAAACCACACTGCCCAAGAAAAATGCAGATTGCTACAGTAACTTCGGGTTAGTAGCCAGGTGACCTCGGTGATGATGTATCATTTAAAACAACAAAAACCGAAAAGAACCGAACTGACCAGAGGGCACAAGGGACTACGTCTGGAACGGCAAACAGGACAGGAACATAAACGAAGAATCGACCAAGAACACTCAGAAAGACAGGCCTAAATACACACAAGACTTATCACAAAGACACAGCTGGAAAGGGCACGTGAAAAACAATCAGACACAGGCGGGAAAACACAGGAAGTAAAACAGGACAAGACACAAGGAGGAAATATATTTCAAAATAAAACAGGAAACGTATACACAAAATTAAGATCATGACAAAATCTTTATTTCAGTTTTTTTTGTTTTGATTTTCAACAGACTGTATTTCATGAGATGAAAAGTTACATATTGTATGCTGTTTGTTTAGTTTTCTTTTTTTCCAGTGATATGATCTTCATGTCACTACTAAATTCCTATTTCACTTTTCTGTCTCTTCAGTTTTCAGATAATTGACCATTTGCTGACATATGCCCAAAGCTAACGCTTTTCTTTTTGTCCTATATGATTTTATTTACTTACAGATGTTTCGGAAAAAAGCATCTTCCTCCTTGAGAATGAGAAGAATAACAGAAAGCGCTAGATGTAATGATGAATTTATTTCTTTACTCATTAGAAAAAGGTGGATCAGTGTTCAGTTTGTAAAATGTGTTGTCAAAGAAACCACACTGCATTGCAGCACAACAACCCCTAAAAAATTTACAAATGTGAAAAAAACATGTCGTTACATAAGTAAAAAAACGACAAAATTATCCTTTTTGATTAGCATCTTTCACAACAAATTATTCCCAGGTGGTTTACATTTTGACAACATTGGATGTGCAACTGAGAACACATTGCTTCTGTCTTAAACCTTGCATGAATAATGCCACCCAAGAGTCTGTGGGTCAGCTTAGATGATTCCAAGTCACTGGGTTTTGTTTTCCTTGCTTTCATTGTAATGAATTACAATCTATATATTTAAACAAAAAATGCTTTGTGAATGGATTCACTGTGATCTTCTGAGGTTCAAATGAAATCACCTATTTCAAATTGGTCCATCTTACTACCTAAAAGCTGTGTTTTGTGACAAATGTGTTGTCCTTCAGTTTTATTTTCAATAAAAACAATAGGAAGCTTTGCTGATGACATTAGAACAATCTATCTATGCCCGTGAAGCCTCGATCAAGGATGTAAAGATTACCTCCACCTGCTTTCCAGACATTTGACACTGTCCCTGCCTTGATAGTACATTTGAAGACAATTATGATAACCAAAAAGATATCTCAAATGTGCTGTCTTTCTGTGTTTTGTATGATTGAAGCTTAAAAGGTTTGTACTTTTGCTGCTTGTTATTGGCATAGGTCACAAGTTCTTGACATTTAAATAGATAACATGTTAAATTGATACATCGAACATTTTTTATAATTTATAATGAAAATAATGATTACATTTGCAAAGAAAATTAGATTTTTGTCCCAATGCCTAGAAAGGACACTATTCTTACAAAGCCGTTTAATGAATGTTTAATGAAAATAAAAAGCAGTGATTCCATTCTCGGCAAATGACGCCAAAACACGTCAAAATATGAAAAAGTGGTAAGCAGCTCTGGCTACTTTCTTTTTGCATCAATATAGGATCCCTTCAACCACCTTTTGAATTGGTCGCCATTGCGATATTTGCACATATCAAAAATCCTTTTTATTCAAGCTCTTATCTCAAACATAAATGTGTTTTTTGTGTGGCCCTGCACTTCTAACCCAGGCTCGCAAACTTTTGGCTAGTTGGTCTGTGTGAAATGCACAAAGCTGACTGCAAACAGGCAAGAGGCATTGTGTCACTGCAACAATAAGCCCAACTGAGCCATATGTCTAAATCAGAAAATACTACATCTCCAAACCGAATATTCTATATTCTAGGGATGCTCCGATCGATCGGTCACCGATCGAGATCTGCCGATACTCACTCTCTACCGATCGATCGGTGCTCTCTAAACATGCCGATCGCGAGAGCCGATTGCATGACTTAAAATACATGACACTTTTCTCTGTGCGCGGCAAAACAAGCTCGCCAAAATGGCTTCACCAGTCTGGCATTATTTTAAGGTGTCCGAAAAAGACCGTAAAATAGCGGTGCAACATGTGTGAAGCAGAAATCCTGCAGCTCCGCCCGCTGTGACGGACCGGTGAGCGGAGCGAAACACACTAGAGTTAGACCTAACACACTTAGCTATTTTATCTACCTCTGGAACAAGCTAAACTAGTTATAAATATATTTACTCTTCACTGTCGGGTCCCTCATTACTGGATCAGTGAGCTGCAGGAGATACTGACAGGCTGTCAGGAGAGAGAGAGAGGGAGAGAGAGGAAAAGAGAGCGCTTCCGCTCATTTCTCCCGTGTTATATAAGTGAATGTAAAGTTGAATAATGTACATCATTTGAATGTAATAATTAAGTTGATTGTTGTTTGTGGAAGCTCCAGTGAATGAGCCCCATTAACTGAGTTTTAAACCTCACTTTAAATGGAAGATTTAAAGTGATGTTTAAATCTTCCATTTAGGCCCCGCCCACTCGATCGGATCAGCGATCGGTATCGGCCGATAATGATTCCGGCGATCGGCCCCAAAATTGGCGATCGGAGCATCCCTACTATATACAGAACTCCTTTCTAATTCAGAATATTGTCATGTTCAGAATAATAGCATATCATTATTGTGCATGTTAACATGGTCGTTGTCAAGACACTCCAGATTAGTGCTCAAAGGTTTCCTTTGATACTATGATGTTAAATTGAATTTGCATTCAAAATCATATAATGTTACTATAATGCCACTTTTGTCCTATTAAAAACAAAACCTGTGAAAGGTGAGCATTTTACGTAAGAACAATCCACAGGTAGCCATTTTTGTATCACCATATCACAGCTTAGTTCAAACAAGGACAAACTGTTTTCTGCTACTTTGTGTATCTGCACTTTTCACTTTCTCTTTTCAGTGTCAAAATTGCCTAGTTAACCATTCTTAAGTGAAATTTTCTTTTTTTAGGATCCATATTCAGTCATTACACAGCTTGTATAATCTTCATTATTTGGTTGAAATTGTAAGAGCTTATGTATGTTTTTGTTTGTGATCTGGGTTTGAGGTTTCAAGGGTTTATTGAAGGTTTGGCTGTGCAGGGTTGACAAAAAATATTTTTCCTACAAGTGGGTCCATGTGCAAATTTGACATGAATACTTTCTATCCTTCGCTTTTGTTTTGTTTCTTCCCTTGTTATTCTGAATGACTTAATCTTTCTTTCTTTTTCATCACTCACTTAAATTGTTTTTCTTTGAATTTCTTCACATGGTTTAACCTTATTAAACTGTTTCTCTCATCTCTTTGTCACACTGCTTCCTTTTTCTTTCTTTCTCTCTCTTTCCACTTACTCTTCTTATACATCTCAGGGAGTATTGACCGTGGGCGAAGCTTGTCCTTCCATGAGGTTCGTAGCAAGCGTGAGGCAGAGATGAGGGCCGCCACCGAGGAGTCGTCCAGCAGCAACAATTTAGGAGGGGGAGGAAACACCGTCCTGCAGCGCCTCCTGCAGGAGCAGATGAACCGGAATTATGTGCTGCATCAACATCAGCAACAACAACAACAACAAGGAGGGGGAGGAGGAGGTTATGCGGTACCTGATGATCACTCCATGACCCCCCACATTGCCCGACAGGAGCCCCAGGGACAGGAGCTGCAGACGGACAACGGCCTCGAGAAGCTGGGCTCCACCAGAGTAGGAGGAGGAGGTGGGAGCAGTGGAGGGGGAGGATGTTTGGGGACTGTAGGTGGAGGAGGAGGCAGCAGTGGATGTGTTGGAAGTGTCCATGGGCCGTGTCCAAACCCTGAGGACCTCCCTACGTATGAAGAAGCCAAAGTGCAGTCGCAATACTTCCGTGGCCATGGTCCTCCTTCTCATCAGCAAAACAACCAGCTCCAGCAGCCCCCTCTCTCGGCCTCGGTGGGTACTGCCTTCTACGTCACTGGGGTGACCAGCACCAAGGTTCGCACTGAGGGTCGGCCCACAGTTCAGCGGGTGAGTGGAACAGGGAGGGTGCACCAGGACGATGGGCTGAAGGATCTAAAGCAAGGACACGTTCGGTCTCTCAGCGAACGACTAATGCAGCTCTCCCTGGCCACTAGCGGTGTGAAGGCCCACGCTCCCGTCACTAGTGCCCCACTCTCTCCACAGCTGCCCCCGCCAGGGCCACCGGGGGACTATTACAAGCCGCAGCATCGCGGCCCACCTCCAGACTACCCCTTCAAAGGAATTGGCTCTCCTAGCAAGCAGCAGGAGCCTGGAGGCCATTTTTATCAGGAGCAGAGAGGCAGGGAGCAATCAAGGGAGGTGCTCCAAGTCCGATACCAGCCTCCGCCTGAGTACGGCTCATTCAGGTAGGAACCCGCACACTCAAAGCCCCTCACCAACACCAGTGTACATTATTAAAGGTGCTTAGGCTATTAATAGTTTTGAACTAACAAAATAAAACTTTAATAGTTAATTAAACGAGCGACTGTGGCTGCGAGGGAGTTCGTCATCTTTCAACCATTCGATCCCAGCCCCAGAGAAAACCTGTCGATGTATCCTTTGGCAAGATACTTAACCCTGAGTTTCTCCCGATGGCCAACGGTGTGTGAATTCGTATCATTGTTAGCTTCGCTAGAGCAAGTGGTACTGCTCTGCATGAAGAAGGTGTGAATGGGTGAATTACTTATTAAAGCATAATGTATAGTTATAATGTTTGAAGCCTTTATATTGCTTTAATGGTAAACCTTACACGATTGTATTATTTTATGTAGACCTCCATCACGTCTTTTGAGTGGTTGGCTCTATTTTGACTTCAGAGACTGAAATGATTCCCGGACACAGTGTCAGATAAAGATGACACACAGGTCCATGTGGACTTTGAATGTCCTATGAGATGTGAATGCTACTTCAGGGTTTGTTTCCACACTGACAAGGACAACATTTTGTAATAACATAACATTATACTTTTATGTTTCTTTACAGGCAAGTAGAAAATAGTAAAAATAAACAAATAAGGTGACAGAGCATTTCATAGTGTCCCAAACGTGCATTTTAAAATGTGAAGAGGAATCCTGTTTGTCCTGTTTTACAGAGGTCTATTTACTTCAGGGAACTAGATCCATCAGACATGAATACTGCAGAATTTAATCATCAGGGCAGGACGAGTCACGACATGATATGCTTCATGGTGTTCCTTTGAGGGATAAAGGCAGGAATGTTTGCTCTGCAAAAAGCCAGGTGACAGCTGGTGATTCCCACCTTACAAATAGCAGTTGAATCAGACTGGGCTAAAGGATGTTCATGTTTAAAAGCATTCATTTATCCCCCATTTTGTTTTGTATACGCTCACTGTTAAAAAAGTTTCCCCTAAGAGAGACAAGAAACGTTATTAAAACAATAATTAACTGACATTTTAGATTATAAAAAACGATCAGATAATAATTATCTTAAGCAAAGTATCTGTATTTATTCAACATAAATGAAGTCACACCTACTGCCATTTCCAACTTAATTACAGGTATATGTTATGCTAACTAGAAATATTAGAAACATTTAGTTAGTACTTAGTGCTTTTATTATACCTGGGTTGTAGTGATACCAGAATTACAATTTGTGTAAACATCGATGTTAACAGAAGTTGCTCAATTTGGTGTAAATCTGATTCTGCAGCAGTGAGGATGTATGAGATGGATTTAAGGGAAATAGCTAAATAGCTAAGTAAGCAAAACAGGGACAAGGGCTTTTATGGTCCTGTAGAGCAAAGCATTCACACCCTTATGCTTCCATGAACAGACAGACATGTCCATTGAAATCATGCAAGTCGTGTCACCTTGGCCTCTGAGAAATTCCATTTGGTCGTCACTTTATTTGGTACACCAGTGTAATCTTTAAATTATACCCTTTCTTTTTGTTGACATGGTTGGACATGTATTAATTCCCCTTTATGTTTATTACAGACGTCATATTTAAGGGTGATGTTATACTACATTACATTTTATGAAGAGGTTTTTCCTAATTCCACTTCCACTTCATTACTACTTGTATATATAGGGGTGCACATAACTCTTTTAGTGAGTTACTCAGATGAGTACCAGGAGACAGCGTTTGGTACTCACCCCACACGAAGCGTGGTGTTAATAAGTGCAGTCTTCCTCACTGTCCTCCTCAGTGTCTCCTTCACTGTCCTCTATTTACACTTCTTGCATGGTAGATGATGAAGATGATGAAGATGCACCTCCCTGTCCCTGTTTAAGCCTCCCATTTGCTTTCTCCAAAACTTGTTGCCAAAAATGTGAAGTCCTTGCATTTCCTGAGGCCAAGTTGAAGGATCAAATACTAAGAAATGATCACATGACTTGAAGTCATATCTGATTTCAGATGTGGGAAGTAACTAAGAACACTTATTCAAGTACTGTACGTAAGTAACATTTTGAGATACTTGTACTTTACTTGAGTATTTCTATGTTATGCTACTGTGTACTTCTACTCCACTCCAATTCAGAGGGAAATGGTGTACTTTTACTCCACTGCATTTATTGAATACCTTTAGTTACTTTACAGATGTGGATGAATGATGTGAAATATAATCAAGTCTTAAATCAGACTTTAGTTCCACCTGGAATAAATTCACAAGCTACCCTGCAGTATACAAAGTCATTCAAACTAGCTGCACCTTTACCAGCTGTGAGAACACTTTAATGATCAATCATTATAAAACATCATATATATTATTCTGAAATGGACCAATCTGCACAATGACTACTTTTACTTGTAACACAGTATTCCTACACTCTGGTACTTCAAATGTTACTCAAGTACAAGATCTGAGTACTTCTTCCACCTCTGTCTGATTTCAAACTCTTCCATTAACACCCTGAGTAAGTTTGCAGCTGTGTGTTTTACTCCACCTTGTTGTAAATAAAACTGCAGCAGCTTCACTGCAGCAGCTTGACCACAGAGCGTGAACGTTGTGATCAGCTGATTTCTCGCAGTTCTCCCGTATGTGCGCGGGGCACAGTGTGCACAGTGTGCACAGAGGAGTCTGCCTCCGCAGCCAGTTGATGTAGTTTTGGTACAATTCCGTTGTACATACTGACGTTAACAGCAGCCCCGTCTGTGCACACGGCGACCAACTTAGTCGTCCAGTGATCTAAGCCCGACTCCTTGAAAAGCTTCACAAGTCCGTCGGTTATGGCCTGCGCGGCTCGGCCAGCACCCATCACACATCACACATCAGTCATAGAAAGTCAGAATATTTTTTGCAGGTAGCGAAACCCAACGTAGCTGCTTAATGTCTTTTGGACATGTATAGTAGTTTACTCCATTGAGTGTTGACAAGAAACAAGTGTAGGCGAAATATGTGTTTTTGTTTTGATGACATATCAGGTACGCAAAGACGCGTAGTGACAAAAGTGACGTTACGCAATTCAGAATTTTGTCCCCCATGCGTACCTACGTACCAGTTATGTGCACCCCTGTGTATACACACCTCTAATGAAGTCCAGTAACACCCACCAACCCCAAGTATGACCTACATTATAAAACTTTAATTTAATTAACACTTCAATGGCAGTTTCATATGTCCTGTGTTGTTCATGTAAATATCTATTCACAAAGCTGATCTCTCCTCAGGTCCAGTAAGGAGGGTTCAGTTCATTTCCAGAGGCCCCATCATCAGCACAGTCCCACCTCCTCTGTCACCTCTGTGGGATCCTTGTCCCGTACCCAGTCCTCCACCCTTACCAGCATGCTCAGTGCCTCCCACTCATCCCATCCGTCCTTCCCTTACCAGCACCCCCAGAGCCAGGGAGAGCCCTTCCCTAGCCCTGGGCCCCGCAGTCCACAGGGTCCGAGCTCCCACCAAGCAGGTGAGCCCTTTACCATGGGTTCCATTAATCAAACACCAAGAAGTCATGGTTTCCCTCATGACCCGTACGGCTCCACTCCCAGGATGTACCATCAGCAGCCTCATCAGTGTCAGCAGCCTCATCAGCAGCCTCATCAGCAGCCTCATCAGCAGCCTCATCAGCAGCCTCATCAGCAGCCTCATCAGCAGCAGCAGCAGCCTCATCAGCAGCAGCAGCAGCAGCAGCAGCAGCTGCAGCAGCAGCAGTTCCAAGGACCTCCACCTCCTCACCTCCAGCTGCCAGTCCAGACCGCACATTTCCCCCAACCACAATCCTACTCTCAACTGCAGGGGGAGCCTTTTGCTATGATGGTGCGAGCCCACCAGATGGTGGATGTGCTTACGGAGGACAACAGAATGCTGAGGCAGGAGATGGAGTCCTGCCGTGAGAAAGTCACAAAGTTGCACAAGGTAACAAAAACACTGCTCTTATGAGTTGTGTTATTTAGAATAGAGTGCAAGAAAAGGAGTGAAATAAGTTCTATTGTCTTGAGTTAAACTAGTTTTTTTTGGTATTGTGATCGTTCTTTTGAGACTATTGGTCGAAATATGTTTGAATATTAATTATGAATATTGAAGATCTCACCTTTGACGAAGCTCAGGCTGTAGACCGCAAATATGTAGATAGTGACATTGCAAATATTCAGAAGATAAATATATAATATAACATTTGGATGAAGTTTAACCCAGCACCTTTGCGCTCCCTTTCTTTCCTCTTTTTTCTAATCATTCATCTTGTACCTGTGGGCAGTTGGAAACGGAGATCCAGCTGGTGTCAGAGGCATATGAAAACCTTGCTAAGTCTTCCTCCAAGAGGGAGGCCCTGGAAAAAACCATGAGGAACAAGCTGGAGCTGGAGGTCCGGCGGCTGCACGACTTCAACAGGGACCTCCGAGGTGAGAGAGCAGAGAGGGGGGTAACAATGCAATAACCGTCCTGCTGAAACTGATTGCAAATTCAACATAAAACTACAATGGTCAAACTATTTTCAGCTATGTTTATTTTGCAGGAATTGAAAAAAGTATTGTGAAGAAAGGTTCAAAGTGGCACTACATCATTATATATGTCTGCTGTAGTGAAAGATATGAAGTATGTAAATTGTGCACTTCATTGTTATAAATATATTTATTCAAAACATACTGTTGTCCTTGTTGGCTGAAACGTACATGCACAGGTGCTATTTTTACTTTTAAGAAAAACTCAAGATCCCATTCCTTTCTGTATCAGTGTCATGACAGATGAGTCCTGCAGTAGTGCTACGTGTAGGGCCGACTGATTCACAGACTGACACAATGTGTTTTAGTAGCTGAAACTACAAAGCAAACACACATACTTATTTAGTGGGAATGCTGATACAGCATTCCAACTATATGTTATACTACGGACAAAAAGTTTATTATTCCGGCCCTCTTCTCCTCCCACATTCAACATCGCAGAAACTCTGTTCAAACATCAAAACGTTCAGCTCGGTCGGGAATCGCAGGCTATTACTTTTATCATTCATAATTCCAGAGATACATCCCATAATACATCACATTTTTAACCATTGAAGTCAATGGAGACATTCTTCAGACTTGAACAATCTTCATGCGACTTCAACTGCTCACTGTTCATTCATACTTTCACTCAGAAACCTCATTCCAACTTTAAAATGTTACACATCTTTCTGACATTATTCGTGTAACACAACTTTTAAATCTGATTCTTACTTTTAGAGATATTAAACATTGTTCAGACCTTGTTAAAGAGGTTTTCTTCAGATTTTAACATTAACTAGAGTGCGTGATGTCACAGCTAGAGTGGAGCAAATCTTGAAATTTGCCTTCATATATTTGTTTAAAACTGCCATAATTCCCAAACCCTACATTCCTGAGACATAATGTTTCATGACAAACGTAGGAAAACATCTCGTAGCTTGAAAAATTACAAATAATTAAGCAAAAAATAATTAAACAAAATGCCTCTTGAGGGCATGAAGTGACAAAAACGTTCAACATGTCTCCATTAAAACCCATTGTAATTTCAGGCTGATATTTCCTCACAGCAGCAGCCGCACACCTTTAGTTAAACTGCCAAAAAGGCCACATTATTAACCCGAAAGTACACAAAAATTACACTTCAGATACTCAACTTCCTTGACATGCTTCACGTTTTGAAATTTCACAGATATCTGTTATCGTTCTTCCACAAAACGTTCACATGTAAGAGGTTTATCTCTCATTCAGAACAATGCAAACCTTTGATCTCTACAGAGCTCGTTAGCTCAACTATAAACACCTGTGTAATGGAACACGATGATGTCATCACTCCAACTGACATGCTCAGAGCAGCAGACTTCAGATAATGGTTAATGGTCGTGCCTGTCACTACCCGATCTGCCGCCCTGCCCTATCTGCAGTGCGCAGATGGTCCGCCATATTGCACAACTCCGTACGGCAACCCAACTAGGACACTTGACACAGTGGCATTTGGCAAAGCACACAAAGAAAACTCAGAAAACCGAGAGAGATGAGATATTGTTATTACAACGTGACTTCAATATTATTTAACAACTCTTTTTATTGGGTTCTTTTATTTGGGGTTAAGTACATTGTCAGAATAAGTGAGAAATGGATTTAACTTCTGTTAGACAGCTATCATACTGAATAAATATTTACTGTGAATGTATGCAAAAATGTATGGCATATAGCTGTCTAACAGAAGTTAAATCCATTTCTAACTTATTCTGACAATGTACTTAACCCCAAATAAAAGAACCCAATAAAAAGAGTTGTTAAATAATAGTGAAGTCACGTTGTAATAACAATAACTAATCTCTCTCGGTTCTTTTTCTGCTTTGCCAAAAGCCACTGTGTCAAGTGTCCTATTAGAGTTGCCGTATGTAGTTGTCAAATATGGCGGACCATCTCGCACATGCGCACTGAAGATAGGGCAGGGCTGCAGATCGGGTAGTGACAGTGCCCTCAACAGCTCTACGTCAATTATGGGGTGTCATCATATGCCGTTCAAGAGAAGAGAGAGAGGGCGATCAAGAGTCAGTTCTAACTGTTCATTGCATTCTCTCTCTCTCTAGAGCGACGCTCGAGATCTATCTCTCTAGCGAGAGAGAGTAGAGAGAGCGCGAGAGTAGGAGAGAGAGAGTAGAGCGAGAGAGAGGCAGAGAGCAGAGAGAGCGAAGAAGAGAGCAGGAAGGCGAGAAAGAGGACGAGGCACTCAATATCTTCCGCTCTCCCTCTTCCTCTTCCTCAATATCTTCCCTATTCCCATTCTTTCCTCAATATCTTTCCTCTTCCATCTCTCTTTCCTCAATATCTTCCTCTCTCCATCTTCCTCTCAATATCTTCCTCTCAATCTCTCTCTCTCTCTCTCTCTCGCTCTCGCTCTCGCTCTCGCTCTCGCTCTCGCTCTCGCTCTCGCTCTCGCTCTCGCTCTCTCTCTCACACACACACACACACACAATCTCTCTCTCACACACACACAATCTCTCTCTCTCTCTCTCTCACACACACACAATCTCTCTCTCTCACACACAATGTTCCAAACGGTCCAAAACTTCACAGGTTTGGTAACGATGCAGCCATCAACGCATCTAAGCGTATTATGGGGTGTCATCAAATGCCGTTGCCATGGCGACAGACCACTCGCCATGAAACACGATGTCGCTGTAAGTCCAATGGACATTGTCCAATCGTCCCCCAATCTTCACTTGTATATCACCGGTCCATGCCTCAACAGCTCTACGCTAAATCTGAAATCTCACCATATGCCGTTTCCATCCCTCGCCATAAAACACGATGTCCCTTTAATTCCTATGAAAATGTTCAAAAAGTGCTCAAAATTCACATGTGTGCTAACAGTCCAGCCGTGAAAACATCTACGAGATTTCTTCAAATGCCGTTGCCGTCCCCCAAACTTCGCTTGTATATCACCGGTCCAGCCCTCAACAGCTCTACGTCAATTATGGGGTTTCTTCAAATGCCGTTGCCATCGCAACATGGTTTTCTCATAACTTCAGTGAAAATGTTCCAAACGGCCCAAAACTTCACAGGTTTGGTAACGATGCAGCCATCAACGCATCTAAGCGTATTATGGGGTGTCATCAAATGCCGTTGCCATGGCGACAGATCATTCGCCATCAAGTTAGTTCAAAAGTTTGCAGTTCAAATATTCTGCTGCTTTTCCAAGCCTTTTTACTTTCTTTTCTTCTCTCATCACACATTCAAGCCCCCAGTGTTCATGTATCATTTCAATCTAAATTCTTCACTTTCTTCTTACACATTACATTTCAGCATAGCAGTTTAGCGTCAGCTTTTCAGCATAAAGCATTCCCACTAGCAATTTTTTCAGGAATTGCATTCTCTAGTTTTGTCTGTTTCCCTTCTTTGTTCTTGCTCTTTAGCTTAGAAAAAACAAGCGAAAGGTGTGCGTGTGGGATGTCAACTTTTACGACTGATTGGGTTGAAGTTTAATATAAACTCACTGAAGCTTTTGTTTTAGAGAGTGTAAAATAAAAATAAAGGGTTCTCATAACAGGAGTTGAGAACAGGGTGCTGGAAATCCTTGAAAATGCTTGAAATTGTACGAGGTGTTTTCAAGGTTTGAAAAGTGCTTGAATTTTGGGAATGGTGCTTGAATTTGGGATAAAGTGCTTGAAATTGTAAATGCTTTACTTCGCTTTTTAGATTAAAAGAAAATAAAGAAGTCGGAGCGCGCTTAATTGCTTCACTTTTACATAAAACAGCCCCGCTCCGGCCTTCCCGCGCAATGCGCGTGACCGGCAAGTGTTTTTGTTACGTGTGTGACCTGGGCATTCTGATGAGAGTGATAGATGACAGTATGCCAGGAGGTTGCCGTTTCAATGAGCGTTGGCTCGCAGAAGACAAATACAAGCCATGGCTAAGACGAGGGTCAAGCGAAGCCCAAGAGTAGTCTCCTGCAAAGTGTGCAACAATAACGATGCGAGAGTCTGCGCTGACGAGCCACACACCACACGAAAGGTACGCCATAGTAGAGCATTTTAGATTAGGCTATCGTTGCATATAAAATACATGACACTTTTCTCTGTGCGCGGCAAAACAAGCTCGCCAAAATGGCTTCACTAGTCTGGCAGTATTTTAAGTGTCCGAAAATGACAATAAAATAGCGGTATGCAACGTGTGTGTGAAGCAGAAATCCTGCAGCTCCACCCGCTGTGACGGACCGGTGAGCGGAGCAGAACACACATTAAGAGTTAGACCTAACACACTTAGCTATTTTATCTACCTCTGGAACAAGCTAAACTAGTTATAAATATATTTATTCTTCACTGTCGGGTCGCTCATTACTGGATCAGTGAGCTGCAGGAGATACTGACAGGCTGTCAGGAGAGAGAGAGAGAGGGGGAGAGAGGAAAAGAGAGCGATATCGGTATCGGCCGATACTGATTCCGGCGATCGGCTCCAAAATTGGCGATCGGAGCATCCCTAATAATTGTATATGATATGTTTTATAATGATTGATCATGAAAGTGTTATCAAAGCTGGTAAAGTTGCAGCTAGTTTGAATGACTTTGTATACTACAGAGTAGCTTGTGAATTTACTCCAGGTGGAACTAAAGTCTGATTTAACACTTGATTATATTTCACATCATTCATCCACATCTGTAAAGTAACTAAAGGTATTAAATACATGTAGTGGAGTCAAAGTACACCATTTACCTCTGACTTGTGTTTACTGCCAACCTAAAAGTACCTCAAAAATAGTAATCAATAATGTATTGAAAAGTTATTTGGCTGATTGTTTTATATTGGCTCAGCCAGGTTATATGGGATGCCCAGTCTACAGATGGGTCACTCATTTTGAAATATTAAACTTAGTTTTCTTTTCTAACATTTTTAATTTTTCATCCTCATGTAGAATGCTATTATGAAACACACATTTGGTGTACACACATTATAGCATAAAGAACATCTGATTTAATGTGAGGTAGGGAAATAATCATTTGAGTATAAGTATGTTTATATAAATATGTAATTTACAACAGCTGTAAGATGCTTGAAAAGCTTGAAAATGCACCTTGAAAATGCTTGAAAAGTGCTTGAATTTGACTTTGGAAAAGGTGTAAGAACCCTGTGAGAAGGTGTATTAAGCAAAAATGTGTTCATGTGTACTTTTACTACAGCCGTCACACCTTCCATGAATTAACCATTGTCTAGAATCAATCTTACCAACATTTATGTATTTCACAAAGAAATCTCCAAATGGCATGTCTATGATGTTGAGGTGTATGTGAGTCACTTTGGATAAGGAGTCTGCTAAATAACGTGTAAAAAAAAAAAAATACCTCAGCTCTAATCGAACACATAGTTCAAATGCTGCATGTATTATTACGCTTGTACTCACATTAACAGGCCTGTCGGGGGCAGTTACAATGTTTAGAAGTCACTTTGAACTCATACAGAGGTGCAATGTGCAGAAAAATATAAATGTTTGAGTTGTTGTCCGAACTCTGAGCTTGTGTGCGCGTGTTTTGTGTTAAAGAGCGCATGGAGACGGCCAATAAGCAGCTTGCCGCTAAAGAGTGCGATGGCTCAGAGGACAACCGCAAAACCATATCCCAACTGCTTGCACAGAGTGAGTAACACACACACACACACACACACACATACACACACACACACACACACACACACACACACACACACACACCAACATCCATCTGATTTGCATAACAATAACCTCTTTTTTTATGAGGAAAGACATTGTATTGTACCTGTGTTCAAGATAAGGAGACGCTCCGTGAGAAGGAGAAGCTGGAGATGGAGTTGAACGCATTGCGCTCCACCACGGACGACCAAAGGAGACACATCGAGATCAGAGACCAGGCGCTCAACAACGCACAGGCCAAAGTGGTCAAGCTGGAGGAGGAGGTAAGAGTATAACATGTCACTCTTACTGGAAATAATCCTGTTGGTTGGATTAACGCTTGTTGCCATTTAATTTGAATCAGGAAATTCAGACATAGAAACTCAGTTCCAACGGTGGTGGGACAACCAAGCAGGGACCACCTTCATTAAATGTATTAGGCTGAGTCTGTTCATAAAAAATCCCTATTTCAATTCCCATCATGATGTTTTCATGACTACAGGTAATAGAACATCAACAGTAGCATTGACATCTCATGCCAGACATAACTCATTGATTATATCTAAAGATGAACAATGAAAACTAAAGATTTCTGATTTCTGTAGTGAAACCAAACGTTTTGTTTATTTTATTGGAGGTGTAGAGGCTAAGCCAACACTTAAAGCCACTGAGGAACTGCTATCTTGTCGTAATTGACACAGTTAAAGTTGCCAGGTTAATAAAAGTCTGGCACAATGTTTCCAGTTGTCCACTGAGTCCATTTATTTTCTACATTAAACGTGCATCGCATTTCTGTCCCCATACAAAATTGACACATAACACAATAACTTAAGCAGTAAACTTTACCTCAGCTTGTGTGTTTTTTCTGACTTAAAGGGGACCTATCATGCAAAATGCACTTTTTTTATGTCTTTTATACATAAATATGTGTCCCCGGTGTGTCAGGGAACTCACAAAGTGTCAGAAAATAAAACCCTCTCTCTTTTCCTCAGTATGCAAATCTCTAAAACAGGGGTATAACGGAGCTGATACAGATTTGCCCCACGGCCCTATCAGAAACGTCGCAATCAGAAACAATGCCCGACGTGTTTTGGACGTAATATGGTCTTTGTTTACATTAGCAAGCATCGCTAACACTCAGAGCTTATGGAATGCCGTTTAATTGAAATAAATACATACATAATTAAATAAATACATATATAAATGAATATGCCTATGAAATAAATTCTGAAATAAATAAATAAATAAGGCGATAAATATATATAAATGCACATTTATTTATTTCATGGGACTTTTATTTCATAATGCCACATTTATTTATTTAAAGATACTTTTATTTCATAATCCCACATTTATTTATTTCAGTGGACTTTTATTTCATAATGCCACATTTATTTATTTCAAGAGACTTTTATTTAATAATGCCACATTTATTTATTTTATCCATCCATCCATCTTCTCCCGCTTATCCGTGGTCGGGTCGCGGGGGTAGCAGTTCCAGCAGAGAGCCCCAAACTTTCTTTTCCCTGGCCACATCAACCAGCTCTGACTGGGGGATCCCAAGGCGCTCCCAGGCCAGCGAAGAGATATAATCCCTCCACCTTGTAAGAGTCGAGAGGTACTGATAATTTATTCCGGCAAATTACTCAGACCTACTAATTAACCTAACCAAAGTTATTGAGTCTATGTAAGTTTGCTGCTTGGCTCAGATCCACCAACGTCAGCAAGATCTCACCTCTATTAACTCCCTGAAGAACCAGGTTCAATTAACTGCTGTTTCAATTCAGACGACCCCCTAAATCTGTTTAAGCGATCCCGAAGGATTTTGATATCAGTAAATGAGGTGTGAGTGTGGCAGTGTGCAATCTTACCTTTGAAGCAGGAGAGGAAAGTGTAGATGTCTTTTAAGTTGTCCCAATCCAAAAGGTGGGATCAGTTTATTTGAAGAAAAATAGGTCCAAACTAATACAGGGTTTTTACCTTCTCTAGTTACAACATTATAATCATACTAAACATATCATGCTGGGGTTATTTTCTAATCTAAAACCTTAATTCATAGTTCACCCATTAAAGTCTTCCGACAAAATCCAAAAGGAATTTCCTCGTGGTGGCGAAGGTTCTCTAATTAGTCCTAAAATCCCGACACATTTAAGAATGGTAGGTTTAAGAATCCCGACACATTTAAGAATGGTTGGTTTAAGAATCCCGACACATTTAAGAATGGTTGGTTAAAAAATCCCGACACATTTAAGAATGGTAGGTTTAAAAATCCCGACACATTTAAGAATGGTTGGTTTAAGAATCCCGACACATTTAAGAATGGTAGGTTTAAGAATCCCAACACATTTAAGAATGGTTGGTTTAAGAATCCCAACACATTTAAGAATGGTTGGTTTAAGAATCCCGTTCAAAACTTTCATCTAAACCAGGGGTTTTCAAAGTGTGGGAAGGTGAGCCTCCCCTCAGAGAACATAAGAACAGCCGCGCCCCCCCCTCCCAATTATTATTGCTATTATTATTATTATTATTATTGTTGTTGTTGCTATAATGCAGGGGTATTCAATTGCATTTCAAAGAGGTCCAGTAAGATAAAATGAAGACTGTTTCTCTCCTCTTGTCTCGTCTCTGTGTGTGTGTTTGAATCTATGGTGCTGACTCACTGACTGCACCGATTTGATTGGCTGAGTAGCGTCACCTCCTTAAAACATTAAACAATAACTTTTTAAAACATTTTTATCTTTATGTTTTAAACATATTGTATAAAACTCCCCCACTACTTGGACTATTCCTTGCACCCCTCTAGAATAAGCCTGAATGGTCTCAACCATATTGCATCAGTAACGTGCACTGTGTTGTTATAACAAGATTGCAACGACACTGGTAGCGATCGGACAATTGAGTGTTGTTCAGTGTGTTGTGGAACATGCGTGTGCGTGCATTAAAATATACCACACACCCAATTACAATAGCATGTGCAATTCACTACCCTGGAAGTTAATACAGTTGTTAAAGTTGGAACAGCCTGTGGACAGCCGTTCTTCCTTGCATGTCAGTCGCCGACACCTTCTTACAGAGGACAGGCAAATCTAGCTGCAGCACGACCCGTATATTTTCGCACACCGTGTTCTCAACACATATTTTTTAAACATTTTTTACATTTCCAACATCCTTATATGCTCCCGGCAACACACTGAACGTCAACTTTGCCTCCTTATTACACTCACCCCTACTTTAGTGGGAACAATGAGTCAGGAATAAACGCAGATCATCCTCTGGCTGCAGCCTTGACCGGCACTTGCTTTTGATCAAAGTCAATGCGGAAAACCCGCACTCACACAGGAGGTGAAGGGAATTAGCACTTTTACAGCCTTTTTGGCGAGGTGGGGGAACTCGGTCTCCACAGACAGCCAAAAGTGTGCAAGTGTCACTTTACTCGTCTTTTTCTCGTTGTTCTTTTTCTCACGCTGTGCCTCCCCTGAAGCTCTCTGGCGCCCCCCAGGGGAGGCGCGCCTCACACTTTGAACACCGCTGATCTAAACCATTCCCTCAGCATTCAATACACAGAGATTTAAGCAATTAAGAGTCCCCTCCAGGGTCTCCAAGAAGGCCGTATACTCTGAACTGCTGTTTGGTGCATAAGCACACACAACAGTCAGAGTTTTCCCCCCCATAACCCGCAGGCGTAGGGAGGCGACCCTCTCGTCCACTGGGGTAAACTCCAACAACGAAGCACCCAACCGGGGGCTTGTGAGTATCCCCACACCCGCCCGGTGCCTCACACCTTGAGCAACCCCGGAGAAGAATAGAGTCCAACCCCTATCCAGAAGTAAGGTTCCAGAGCCGACGCTGTGCGTAGAGGTGAGCCCAACCAGATCCAACTGGTAATGCTCCACCTCCCGCACAAGCTCCGGCTCCTTCCCCCGCAGAGAGGTGACGTTCCACGTCCCCAAAGCCAGCTTCTGTCACCCGGGTCTGGTCCGTCGAGACCCTCTGCTTTCACTGCCACCCTTCTGGCAGCGCACCCGACCCCATCGCTGTTTCCCGTAGGTGGTGGGCCCGCGGGACGGAGAAGCGGAGGTGTTGCCCACGTTGCAAGCCCGGCCACCAGACGCTCGCCGACGAGTCCTCCTTCTGGGCCTGGCTCCAGAAGGGGACCCCGGGCTTCCTCCGGGCCTGGTATCCTCACTTCCTGTGTCGTCTTTCATGAGGTCTTTTTGAACCAATCTTAGTCTGGCCCCTTGCCTGAGACCATGGGAGACCCTACCAGGAACACAAGGTTCCAGACAACACAGCCCCCAGGTTCATCAGGGCACACAAACCTCTCTACCACGGTAAGGTGCTGGTTCTTCAGAAAGGTTATTTATTTCAGGAGCCTTTTATTTCATAATGCCACATTTATTTATTTCAGGGGACCTGTATTTCTTAATGCCACATTTATTTATTTCATAATGCCACATTACATTTCCATTTCTTGTATTCAAATGAACGGGGCGTGGTTAGCTCACAGATCCAGCCCAAAGCAACAGCACCACAACACTGACTTAGCTCTTGTTTCACACTCCAGTACACTTAAGTGGTTTGCCAACCGCCAATAAACCAAACCGGTTCCGGTTCAAGAACCGTTCTTGTGCTTTGCTGGTGCTTAACTGGTTCTTCTCTGGTTCTGCCCCTTTTCCACCAAACCGGTTCCAGGGCTGGTTCCGGGCTAGAGCCTGATTTAGCTCTGATTCTTCCTGTTTCAGCCGCAGCCGAGCCGGCTCTAAGCACCGAAAACCGGTTCTTAGCTGACCCCACTCGGCTGACGGCAAGAACCAAGAACCATGCTCACGTCGGAGGGGGGCGAGATTAACCTGAGCAATAACAGTCCATGGCGAGTACGGCAAATATAAGTTGTAACAAGTAGTAGCGCTGCGCAAAGTGACCAGAACGCAACCACACACTTTATAAAACGACGCTGAAGTTGGCTTCCGATTCAGAGCTTCCGATTCGGCAGTAAAGGGGAAAGTTAAGGGACATTTAATTTACAGCGCTGAGCGAACAATCCTCCGTTTTTGTACCTCTTAAATCGCTGCATAGCCGATTTATTTGGACTAGATTATCCCAGAGAGTCTAAACATTCTTTATAACACAGTTTTAGATTTGTGAAACCTTTATTCTATTTGTGAAAATACAAAAAAGGGAGATTTCGCTGCTTTTTTCGCATCTAGACCACATTAGACCAGGTCCTGATCTAAAACCACTATACCTACACTCATCAAATCTGGACTAGACTATCCCAGAGAGT